GACGTTTGCATTAGGACAATGCATTCTGCGCGACAGTTTTCGACTTCTCTTTGGAAAAACACTTGAGTGCTTCCGCAACTGTACTCCATAGACTGCTGACCTTTTGTCGCCGAAAGGCAAGCTCTTTCCTCCTCGTAGAACCGAAGGATCGTCCCCCGAAAGGACATTATTTTGCGGCGATCGATAACATCCAGAGCGACGTAACCAAATCCCCCGAAGTAGAAAACTTGCGGTTGTGCTTCCGCAAGAGTGTGGCGGGACTTTGCGAGGAATCCATTTTCGGAGGAGACAACCGGAATCGCCGCATGTTTGGAAAATGGCGAAAATCGAGATACATAGAGAGTACTTGACAAATTATTAAAAAAATGTTATAGAAGTGCTCTATTGAGAAAAGTGAAGACACGGCAAAATTTTTGATAGAAATATTCTCGATAATAATAATTATTATTTTGACTATCTTGACAAGGAAGCAGAGAAGCAACAGATTTTGATTTCAAATTTTGAAATACTCGGTGCACACGATAAGTACCTAGTCTCGCGCTTTGACACGTGACGGAATTAGATTCGACATTTGTTTAATTTTCGATTCGATTCGCGGTTTAGATCGCGAGCTTGGTTGGTTCTCAATTAGCAGGAAGCTCACGCGCGACGTGATGTACGCACCGATGTTGCATTTGCGTTTCCCAATTTCGAGTTTCCGAGAGGCATGCTTCCTCGTTTTCCGTCGTGTAGTTGCCGCCATTAAAAGATTGCCGAGGCAGAGAATACACAATTTCAACGAGTAATCCGAATTTCGCCAGCGAGATATTGTCGCTGGTTACGTTTATAAATTTGTAATCTTTTCACTCTCTTTCTCTGATAAAGTAAAAAGATATAAAATATAAAAGTAAAAAGATATAAAATAATAAGATATAAAAAGATATAAAATATAAAGTAAAAAGATATAAAATATAAAAGAATATAAAATAATATGAAATAAAAATATAAAATATAAATTAAAAATACAAATTAATAAAAAATAAAATTTAAATATAAATAAATATAAATAATAAATATATTAAATATAATAAATATAAAGTAAATTAATAAACAACGTTTATTTTCATAATAAATATGAAAATAAATTGTATGTATTTTTATATAAATATATGTATGTGATATGATACAAATATCATATATAATATTACCGCAGCATAAACATAATTCATATACAGCGTAAAATTAGACTAATTTCGCGCAAAATTCTTTGATAAACTCGCAAAAAATTTTTTTTATTAAAAATAAATTTGGTTAAAAAATCAAAAACCTTCTCTTTTGCGCTTCTTTAATTTTCTCGGTGTTAAATATCCTTATTAATATTACCGTATGCGAAATATGCCGGAAGGGCAAAGAGTCGCTTGGTGCAAAAAGCCGTCAGTTTTCATTTTTTCCGCTGGCGCAACATTAATGTAATACCGCTTCTCAACGTCTGGTCGACGCTTTTCAAAGGCGACCGTAGCAACCGTAAGGGAATTTTGTTGCGAGATAAAAAGCGAAAAATAACGGCCACTGTCGCGCTAAATAAGCTTGATCGCTCTGCCCCAACGTGTGGCTTTAAAGTTTTGTCCAGCTGAACTCCAACCACCCCGATCGACTTTCGATAACGATGGGGGATAACAAAGCGAAATCTCGATCGATTATAGTGATCGGGGTCACTTAACGAGAGTTTCATCTATGTGATAATGAACGTTAGAAAAAAAGTGAAGCGAATCTCTACTTAATTAAGAATGGAATGGACCAAGAACCCACCCGTTAAACATTTTGTGTGTATCGTGCGATATAAAATTTTTTTTTTCAATAAAAATCGAATACTCGACACGTAAAATATTGAAGAGGGCACGTCAAAAATGCAAAATAGCATCTCGGTGTTGCGAGATATAAATTCTCGATGGAATTTCAGATAAACGTTGCAAATAACAATAACTATTCTAGAAACGCACGAGCATGAAAACTATAAATTCGCTCGTTACATTGCGTTACTATCAAAATAATAATAATTGTTTATCATTTTCCAGTTTGCCTCGCGGATTTACTCGGTGATTTTCCATTCCGCAGCATTGGACGATGCCATTATTATTATTATTATCATTATTATTGTTGTTATTATTACAACTACAATAGTATCTATAAGCGTATCGTTAAATGCCACCTAATTCTATATCGCTACCCGATGAATATCAATTGCGTCATCGCAATTGATGTTGAATTATGAATTTTGAAATCAAATTTTGCGCGAACGAATATTATGATCGCAAATATGTAACTGGTGTCGGGAAATTTCGGCCCGATTTCTTCCCACGCTTTTCGTTTCTCCGCTTTTTTTATCACCTAGGATGTTGTGTTTTCCAGGCATTATTGTTACCGTTGATTGTGTAGTTTCGGATGAAAGGGATGCTACGCGTTTCCTATATTTCCTATATTTCCATGTCTATATATAATGAGTGTTCGCGTCTGTTCCGCACGCGGCCTGTCCGCTATTGTTCCGCAGTTTTCGCGATTAAAGTTTAAATTGCTCGCGACTGAACAGCGATGGATGGGCTTGATGGAAATGGAACGTTTGTGATTATACACGCGGAGGGTTCAAGTCAAATATTTGATGGGCATCGTAACTTTTGGCCGAATTCGCCGTGCGGTTGCAAAACGAAGATCGCTTCATGTTACACTCGTCCCTCCCCCTCCCCTTTCCCTCCGTTGCATGTTGCAAATTACTGTTCAACAAAATTGGAACTCTAACATGGAAATGTACTGTGGAGCTGGAATAATAACTCGACGCGATATTTCTGGAGAATTTCGGATTCGTACCTTATCATTTGCATCAAGAGAGTTTAATATAAAAAAATAAAATGTACATTACATATTATTATGTTAAAAAAAATAATTAAATATCTTCAGCGCGAAACATTCGGCGTATTTTTGTTAATTAATTTTTTAAAATCATATATAATTACTTATTTGTCGATATATTTTAGAGCCTCCCCTTAAATTTCTTTTTTATTAAGAAAAAATAATATATTGCATTCTTACAAATCTACTTTTCCCTTTTTTTAAATCGATATATGTTGGGATTCAATATCTTCTTCCGCAATTCGAATTTCGTTGAACAACAGTGCGCGTTGCACAATATTAAGCAAGGATAATTCGAACGATTCAGAATGAATCGATAGCTTTCCTAGAAACTAACTGAGAACCACCCTTCAACCCCACCGGGATCGATTCGTTCTCGTTAGCGCGTCAGTCAAGCAACGACGTCGATTATAATGGGGTATCGGTTTAAAGACACCGGACTAAGGCACATCGAACTTTCATTAAACTTACGCGTCGACGGGGAAACGCGGGATACAATTGCGTAAAGTCGTCGAAAAAGGAAAATTTGATGTAAACCGGTACTCTCTTTCCCTCCCCCCCCTCTCTCACTCTCTCTCTCTCTCTCTCTCTTCCAATATTTCTGCTTCCCTATAAAGCAGTAAATTACAAGTCGCTCTAGATATTTATGTAGCGTATGCTATAATTTTGACTTTGTTTAGACATTGTTATTCAAGTAATGCCGGGAATGGATTTACAAGAAATATTACAGTCTTTTCCATGAATTACAGAGATTCACGATTTTCGCGCTCTTGAAATATAATATTCAAACAGATAAAAATGCTTAACATTCTGACGTTTTATCCGAGTTATAATTTTTTGGATAATTTAAAAATATATATAATCGCGCTTTTAATGATTATCTAATCGAGTTGTCAATTTGTATAAGGTATTTTACTTTTTGACATTTGACGCGTTTCGCTTTTTCCAAAATTATAATTTTGCAGTATTCAGATGCAGAGTGACTCTCAATGCATAGGTTGCTTTGATCCATTAGTATATTGAATTCAGGCAAGATGTTTTTTGAAATATATCATTCAAATATCGAACGATATTTTTCAAGTGCTAGAGATACGTCATAAACATCGATCCGGTTCAAGATCTCTCTTTCCTTCTATTTTTATTTATATGTCCTTCTCTTTCTCAATCTCGGACTCAATCGAAAGTCTGCTGATGAACAATCTGTGCAGCTCGTTTTTATCTGTTGTTAAATTGTCATGAGACATCATCAATGAGAACGCCAATATAACTCTCAGTCCGGCTTATCTGAAGCGATGGTTTCTTAAATACACATATATATATATATATATATATATATATATATATATATATATAAACGCGATTTTAAAACATACTTAAAGGCATATCTGTGTATCAGATCTTCTGAATCGGTAACAATCAGGAAATAATAAAACACGAAAATCATTTATAGGGATAAAAGATTATAAATTACTTCTCTTTTTTTGAATAAATTTAAACTTTTTTAAGGATTCACAACAATTAACTTGAAAAATACAATAATCTATACCAAACTTTCTCTTTACTCTCTGGGAAATATTCCTAATTGATGTGCCAATCATTCAATCAATTGATGTGCTAATCACCTTAGATGTTTAATCACTTAGATGTTTAATCACCTTAGGTATTACCAGCAACGACTTATTTGTGCAGCAAAAAATAGGCTCGAAATCTTTGTAGTCTCCAACTGAGAGATCATTTCTCTACGATCTACATAATCATACTCAACACCAGGTTTCGCTTATGCAGATGCAAATGCAAAGCTTAAACATGATTGCACACATAGATATATAATAATAATTATTTAACATAACATAAAAATTAATTAAAAACATAGTGTATGGCAAATAAACGCTAATTATCCAATTTGATTTTTTTCGAAAATCTAAGACAAATCGTCAAAATAATGAAATTTACGCACGAATAATCGAAATGAATTTTGCAAAATTTTTAAACTACTCAACATTTAAGATATATAAACTCAAAATCAAAAGGATTAAATATACATAAACGAGCGTTTTTCAATTCTGGAAATTAATATTTATACAATTAACGAATTCCACTTGTTTTTCTTCTGGCAGGGTTCACGATAATCCACTCGGATAAATTAACGGCGAGTCCAAACCTTCTGGCTTCAACCCCATTTGATACCTAGGCATTTGGAATCTTACTCTCTATGCTCGGGCAATATCGTGGATCGATATCTCCTTCGTAACGTGTAAGTTACAGTGCATATGTTCAGATATGTTGGTACTTATTTCTCAGGCGGTAATCACACATAATCATTTATAAACGAAAACGACATCGGAGAATCATTCGGCAGATATTTTGATATTTTGGCAGATACACTTGATAAAGTCAATGCTATCTTTCTCCAATCTTGGCAGAGTCCCTAATAATGTGTAACCTAATTAATATATCATTATAATTAAAAGTTGCAATGTTATAATAACTTTAATGAATAAATGAATATGAATATATAAATTTAACATAAATTAGAGCACAAAATAAAAAAATATGTTTATTTATTTATTGGATTGTATGTTATCAATTAATAAAAAAAATATATACTGTGTGCATAAAATATAACTCTCTTTTACCAGTTTTTAATCTTCCTATCTGAAATCCAAGTCAAGTATGTGCCAAATACTGATACTAGGCTCATCATTTAATCTACCTGCAGGTTACTTCTCCTATTCAATATTTATTTAATCTCTTTAAAAAGTTTCTGTAGGTGATAACTACTGCATCCTCAAATATTTTTGTTCCATCTCCTACAAAATGGTATAATATTTCTGAATAATATATAAAATTAATACTAATAATAAAAATATGTACATTTTTAAATTTATATTATACTTTTGAAAAAATAGGTAGATGTTAAACTCAATATGTTAAACTCAATCTTAAATAAATGCAATAAAATAAAATTATTTTAAAATTAAATGTAGTTGAAATACTATATTAGTTAAAATACTTTTATTCTTTATGTTGTGTCTTTCCTTCTAGGAAGCTCTCCATTTTATTTTATTATAAAGTGGAACGTACTGAGAATTATTCCACAGCAGGATAGAAGATTAACGACAGAAAATATTATTGGCTAAAATTAAATCTTCCATGGAGGATTAATAAATAAGCCAAGCATATTGAAAAATTCTGTCTGATGATGTTTCTTGTATAATGTTCTATCGATTTGAGTTCTGAGATTTCACACCGTCATTTCTTTGCACTTATTCGGAATTTTGTATATATAGTCCTAGAATCTTGTATCGCTGAAATAACACATATTCAACAACATATTCCATCTAAAGCATCTACCTCTCATCAAATGGCCGTTTTCTATTCTATTGAAAGACGGATTACACAACATTTTTTCAATAAATATATTCAAATTCAAATATGCTTAATATACTGAAAGATGGAAAATGTATTTAAGTGGATCGTCGTATTTGACCACGTGTCATATTTCTCTCCATTTTTTACACGATATCTGCACTAAATTCATGCAACTTTTATAGGCGACTTGTAGAATTTTTGTATCTCTTTATAATAAAAAACACCTTCTAAACTAACCAAAATAAATTATTATTCAATAAAAAACGAGAAATGATGCCTCATCCCGTGATGATACTCGCACAGTATCTCGTACTTGTTTCTTACTACAGTAGGAGATATATTTGCGTCAACTTCGTTTCATGAAAGACTCGGAATAAAATGAGGACACATGTTACTTAACTTCACTTTATCTTACATTGCCAAGCTACATATTTACACGACGGGCGCATGCGACTTGTGTCGTATGCTGTAACAAATTACAAGACCGATGTTAAACATATATTACACAACATATATTACGTGTAACAAGTTACATCATATTAGTTACGAGGCTTCTCATTTATCACTTATATCGAATTCCAGTCGCACATAAACATGCAATATTCCGTTGACAGATCATCAGCTGTTTGAGTAAGAGAGGTTGGGGGAAGGTTTGGAATGCGAGCTCCTTCGGCTTCTTCCGGGTAAATTCGGTTCGATTATGTACTCGTGATTGGTGTTCCAAGTCGCGCCAAAATTATTGGATGGCTATGTATCTTATATGCTATGCGCACATGTGATGGACGACCTGACGTCACGATCGATATGTCAGGTGTTTTGATTACCACTTTCGCCTTTTAACTTTGGAATACACTTGACATCTGTTTGTTCCGCTCTGTTTGCTGTCTTTTTTTCTGCATTCCCGACTTTAAAACAAATTTTTATTTATATTTGCTATCAGGAATTTTTTTTCTTTCTTGTTCTGTTGAAACAATATTATTATTATTTTTTTTATCCTCCGTTTCAACAAATTTTAGGTGACATTTTATGTGTTGAATTATAACATTGCAAAGAATTGAAAAATTTTTACTGTGTTATAAACATTATTAATAACACATATATGATATGGTAAAATGTAATTATTAATGTATTTTAGAAATATATAAAAATCATTTTTTATTGATGACAGAAATAATTTCAATGATAAAATGGTATATAAAAGTTATCATCACATTACGCACAATTACATATGTAAATTAAAATTACATGATACTTAAAATGACCCTTATACCCAAAATTGAAAGAAAGTATATAAATATATATATAAAAATTTTTTCTGAAATTTTATTAAAAAATCAGTTAATTATCATCAGTGTTAATGTTTAAAATGTTAATATTATTAATATTTAACATCATTAATAATTTTTGAAATATAAATCATGCAAATCAATTAAACCATGTTTTTCTTACAAATGAAATTTTAAAGGACCAAATGAATTATTATTTGTTCCTCAATTTGAAATGTCTTGATAGAAGTCTTTAATAGAATTTTAGTTGAAAGTTGAATTACCAAGCCGACAATAAGTCGTGAAACAATAAGTCGTGGAGTTTGAGAAGTTTAGTCTTTCAGTGACTTGTCCTCGCTAAAGAGAAAATGATTCCAAGTTTTACGTAAAGCAACGTAATAAATCCAATTTCTTTCGCCAATTACGAGATATGTGTACAAGCTTTCTTTCTTATACGTTGTTTAAAAATTATTTTGTTGAATATTGATATGTCCCGTGATAATCGTATCACCTCTTGTGTATAAGTGGAGCATGTTATATTGAATAGAAAAGTCCTGTTTGCTATTTTCGATGGTTATTATCAGATCACTTTGCATATAAGTATATTAATATAAATATATATACATTTATTACATTTATTACATTTATATACATTTATTTTATATATATATATATATATATATATATATAAAATAAATGTATTATATAACATATGATGGTATATTTAATTATATATTTAAATATATTAAATATATTAAATATATATATTTAATTTATATTATATTATATAATATATATATGCTATATCATTCATATATTATATAGTATTATATAGTACTATTCATATATGTATATTACATTGTGTGTGTGTGTGTGTGTAATAGAATTTTAGTTCGAAATTGAATTACTTAACAATGAGTCGTGAAGTTTGTGAAGTTTGTAATCTTTCAGTTATCTGTTTTTGCTAAAGAAAAAATGATCCCAAGTTTTATATAAAGCAACGTAACATATCCAATTCTTTCCTCCAATTACGGGGTATATTAACAAGCTTTTTTTCTTATGCAACATTATTTAAAAACTGCTTTATTCAAATTATAATTTAAATTATAAAATATTTGTTTTATTCAATATTAACATATACAAGTGTCCAATAATAATCTTATCACCTCTCGTGTATAGGTGGAACGTGTTAAATTGAATAGAAAATTCCTGTGCCATTTTCCGATTTTTGATAGTTATTACGGGACACCTTATACATATATACATACATACATATAGTATATACGTAATCGAATATATATATAATTATGTACATAATTGTTTCATAAAATACTATTGTCGTCATAAAATGCTATTGATGATAGTCGATTAGAAAATCTTATTAACGTTTAATTATTTGATTGGACACGCAGGTACAAATGACTCATACATCACTTTCAGATCCATTGTTTGCTGCGGGAACAGTAAGAGCGCATTAGCGGCTTGACTGCTAGATGGCTTATCACTGTCGAGATTTTCCCTGTTAAAAGCTCTCGCGAAATTGTCCTCCTCATTCCATTTTAAAGTCGCCCATGCCGCTCTAGGACGCGAATGCAAGATATACCGATCGTGTATCTGCAATATGATTTATAACAACATTATAACAATACGTACATATCTCCTTTCATTTCAAATTTCGAATCTTACACGAGCTGGAATTTTGCAAGGCATCCCTATGTGGTGCAACTTGTTTAAAATAGGTAAGAGAAACAGATGCGCGGAAACGGAAGCAGACACCGGATTTTTTGGTAGACATACAAGATACTTCAGTTTGTCGTTAAACATGCATGTTGCGAACGTTGTCGACTTTCCCGGTTTCAAAAATACGTTTCCTAAAAAAATATATGTATACAGGATGTGCCGAAATTCGAGGGTAATAAAATTGCAGCTTGAAAGTTTGAAAAATTAAATTTGATATTATTCATTCCAAAAAATAGTTTTTGAATCATAAAGATAAATTTAATGCTAAATTGTCATTTATATTTGTGAGTTTAAATTTTTATATCTTAAAAATTGCTACTTGTGTGGAACTGATAAATATTTTAATAATTTATTTATTTATATTTATTTATTTTAAACTTTCATACTCTAATTTTATTACTATTAAAAATTGTTGAGACACTTTTTATGTATAAAATTCTATATATCCCAAAGAGCTATGTCTTTTTATATTTTTTGTTACCGCAGTGTGTATTCAGAAATAAAAGTACCAAAATGTATAGTGGCATCAAAGTCATTCTTTAAAATGAACTTCAATAGATCATTATCGTTCGAGCAGCCTATTGTCACGAGTACGACCACTTGCTTTAAAGCGTTTTTGATTTTCATCTTTATAGGTAGTATACTGCGAAAATGTCAATTATTAATTTTTTATTTTGTTACATTAATCATAAAATAAAAATATTAATCATTTGTACATTAAAGCAAATATAAAAAGAATGGCAAGAAATACGTAATAAATATCGATGTACTCACTCATCAGTCACAATTCCGAAATCCACTATCGAATTAAAACCTTGATCTTTTAATAGTGCGATTAGGCTTATTCTGTTACTATCGTAAACATATCCCGATCTCAAAGGCTCTGTAGGTTCCTCTAATAAATCTCCAATTGACAATATACCTATGGAAACAAGTTTAAGGACTCGAACTTCTTTACGACCCGTAGCCGCCAATAATCCTAATTCCGCTGGACCAATACGTGTAAATGGGTATATAATTAGTTTCCCTTTCCGTATATCGCTACCGATATCTCTTCAAAATATACAAAAAGCGTTCAGGTGAAAAGAAAAACAATATTTAAAAAGATAATATTAAAAAAATATTTAAGAGATAATATTAAAAAAATAATAATAAATATAAGAAATTTGAAAAGATAGTATTTTCAAAAGAATACATATGTAGAAAAAAATATTGAATTTTTTTCGTACTTAATATTCTGCTCGAATTCTGGTTTAATTTTTATCAGAATTAAATTGTCCGCGTAATCATTTATTATCATTACATCCTTAATTGGTACAACCGCTGTTGCTTCTGGAATCAGATACAGAAATAATAGTTAATTCTTTACTGCAAATAGAGAGAAGCGTTAATTTGTAATTAAGGTAGTTTGAATTAAATTTCACCGTCAGGAACACGCGCTCCGCTCTTCACATATATGCATGTCCCAGGTATGAGAGACACTGGATCGGACTGCAAAAATTTTTGTTCAACTCTAGCTCGCTGCTGTATATTTTGTATAACTTTTAACATCACTTACTGTAGTTCTGCTCACTATTATCCTTCTACCTTCACCATCACTTGCCAATACTGCGTATCCATGTTTAGTGGCACATCTAAATGCTGGCACATCGTAATCGGAATATACATGGTCGGCCAATATTCTGCCATAAGCATAATTTGTCCTTATAAAATCACATAATGGTTCGTGAATATCGTACTTTACATTTTGTTGTATTTTCAACAATGCATCTTCTACAGCAGTCATGGGATACTGTTCACAAAACATTATGTCTTTCAGTTTCTGTGAAGAACTTAATTGTATATGCAACCTAGCATAATATTTCTTTTATTGTCTTTAATGAGTCAACAAATAGTGAAGAGATTTAAACAAATAGTGAAGAGATTTAAAATTTCATTTATAATTTCATAAAATTTCTTATTATGTTTAATATGGAAAATAATTTACCTTCTTCATTGATATCAGGCAATGATAGTGGTTTGACAAAGCAATCGCGATCATTAATTGTAAAAAAATTTAATTATACATAATCTCATAAAAATTTTCTTATCATTTCTAATATAGGAAATATTAAAAATTGTCTACCTCAGTTTTAAATGTCTCAGACGAAAATGATTTCGCGCCAGCAGTGACTTCACTCGCAACATGCATCTGTGAAGGGATGTAATTATAATTATAAAATTGTTTATATGCAGTTTAATTATAATTATAAGATTTGTATACATATATGATTTCATACAATCTTGTATAAAATTTCTTTCTTTCTCTCGTTTGAAGTTTCTAATATAAAAATATTTTATCTGTTCTGCAGACAAATCTATAGGAGATGTCTCGTAAAGTTTGGCGATTTGATCTAATTTTATCTAAAAAAATTTTAAATAATTAAAACTTCATAAAATCTCTTATTCCCTCTTGTTTGTTATTTCTAGAAAATAATTTTTCTGTAAATTTATCGAAATAAGATTACTATAACGTTTTGCTTTATTCTCGTTTTCCATCTATAAAATGATCAAATTGTATGTAAACACAAGTGTATATATACAATTTTAAAATCTTTTGTTGCTTTATTATATCTGATATAGAAAATACCTTACCATTTCCATCAATTTGCCAGGAAAAAGAAAAAATCGGCGTTTCTTTTTATTCATGTCGTTTCCCTAAAAAAAGATTTAATTGCATATATGATTTCATAAAATCTTTTTCTCTCTCTTTCCTTCTGTCATTTATTGTTTTCGATATGAAAGATACTTTACTTTCGTTGTAGATGGAGGTAGAAGAGAAACAAATTCATGCATGTCATCCGACTTAGCATCTTCCTATAAAGAGATATAATTGCATGTTTAATCGCTTTTCTCATGTACAATCTTTCCCTCTCTTATTACTTCATTTTAATATATAAATCTTACCTCCTCTGATTCTTCATGGTCTTTGATTTTATCTTCCTCTACCTGTAAAAATATTTAATTGCATATACAAAATTATTATATTGTTTCTAAAACAAAAAGAAATCTTACCTGATATGTATTATATGAAGAAGATGTAGTAGCTTCATTTTTCTCTTCATTTTTCTCACGTGTTAATCGTATTATATATTTACCATGTATTATTTTTACAATTACATCAAGACATGTTATTGCTTCGTTTTTATTGAAGCCAAACAAATTAATGATTAGCGTTTTTTTTAGGATTCCACATATACTTCTGAGGAAATGCATTTAAATTGTTACATAATTTAAAAAATAAAAATATATAAAATATATAAAAATAAAATTTTACCGATGAAACTTGGGTTCTAATTTCGCTTGTACTTCCTTTAATATATATGCGTGTCTTTTCTTAATTTGTTTAGGGATCACTTTTTCAACCTTTTTTGTAATCTTATTCGTATATTTATTATATATATTCACAATCATATTCTTATATTTATTAGAAAAATATGGATAACCAATAATAAAAATAGTATCAATATTTTCATCGCTCCAAAAACGTATTATTTGTTGCTATAACATACAAATAAAATAAAATATAGTAAATTGAAACATTAACAACATAAAAAGAACATTTAAAATATCTAGTTACTATCATGTCAGAATCATTAAATTGTAGGAATGTTCCAGTTATTTCAAATTTTTGCGTCATTGTATTTTTAATATAATCTATCAAATCGCTCATCTCCTTATTATATGCATCTGTTACATCTCCCCATACATCATTTTCGGTATGTACTGCGTAATTATAATAAAATTAATAAAACTTTATATAATTTTATATAATTTTATTAATTTAGAAAATATATGATAAACAGTCTATAGATTAGATGTTTTTTTAAATTATAATTTGATTCAAATACTTGCATTAATTGTAGAAAGTAATTTTAATACATTAGAAAAGTAAAAAATATTGTTATGCTATATAAAATTATAATAACATTCATAGATATTGGATAAGATACATATGGTTACATTTAATCTTCCAGCGTACAAGTGAAAATATTTTATATGTAACGTATCTTTTCAAATAAGTTTCATGATGTTTATTAGCACATATTTTTTCTACATGCATATAATATATATTTCGCATGGAAAATTGTCATGTACATACCGACCAAAATTCTGCATTTTGTTATTGCCGTTTCACTCATCTTCTTAATATCTCTTTACGATGCTGGCTAATATGATCAGGATTTTTATCGTTTCGATCGTACATCTGCTTGTTCTCAACTACCAAACTCTGCGACTGACTTGACTTTGCTTAGCTATGAGAATAATATATCGATAGACTGTTTCGATAAGGAACTATTTACATTCTTTCTTCCAAGCGTTCTTAATACACACGTCTCACAAATAAAAGCAGAGATCACCTCGATTTTCGATTCCGAGTTTATATCACGAATATATATAATATTAAATCCGTCTGTCCTAGTCAGTTTTTATTAAATGCGACAATATAAGAAGAGAGAACGCGAATGCCATTAAATAATTCTTACCACTAATTATCAGCAAATATATTCATTAAATATTCATTAAATAATGGATTCGTTTCTCTTGGAAATATAAACTGCGTAACAAATTTTAAGAATGGAGAAATGTTAAAGTTTTAACGATGACATTGCAATGAATTATTTTTAAAATTGTGTGGATTTCGCGCGCAAGAAAAGAAAAGAAAAGCAAATTTTCTTTCTCGTCACTCTCATGTCTTTCTACCTTTTCATTTTGTTCGAAATATTTTCCCATTAGTGCTATCGCGAGAGATTATTCCAAACTTATCACTCTCACTCGTACGTTAATATATTATATATTCACATTCGATGTATGCATAACGTTTAATATAAAATAGCTGATTACGTCACGACAGCCATGTTTGATTCGCCTAAAATGCAAGGAATCTCGGAATCGGACCACAGTGTTGTACCTGCGTCCAAAGTCGAGACATCCAGTGCTCTTGGCATTTGTTGAGTGCGTTGTGCGCGGTTATTTATAATGTCGAAACGCTTGTGATAATTATTCACGCGATTACACGATGGAACATCGTAAATATCGAAAAAACTCGATCGATGTGATCATGTATCATGATAGTCATCGTTATTTGTGAGACGACATTATGGTAACAAGAATCACTTTTCACTCATCGTGTTCGATTACGATTTTAAGTAGTTTTAATAAATATAACTAATAAATATCACTAGATAAAGTGTAGCATCAGGAGTGAATCGAGGAAAGAATCGGGCGCCTCTCATATTATGCATGTACGATCAAGTTAATCTTCATTTAATCGAAATATCTCTTTTTCAATTCGCTTTTAAAATCGAAATATCACAAGAGCGCGCGCGCACAAGACAGCGTCATCTGTCGGCGGGAGGCGCAACCGTCCGAGCTGCCGCGCGGCGCTACGAGATGGCGCGCGACTCGCGGCCGCCTGCTCTCCTCCCGGCGGCGTGACGTCCAGTCAGTCAGTAGCAGCTGACCGATAGGAGCGTTCGGAGTTCCTTCCGCAGCGCTCGCGTCCGTGCGTGACCGCGTACGCTCGTGCGTCTCACAGTGCCTTGTCGCGTCGCGTCGCGAGTGATCCGAGGAATAAATCGACGCTGTGGAGGATGAAGGAATTCGGAGCATCCTCGCAGCTTCCTGACTGATTGCGAAACGGTGAAAGGCTGCGCGGGACGAACCAAGACGTCGTCGACGACGAGTCACGAGTGTCACGAAATTGCCACGGTCAACGCAACACCGGGTGAGTAGCGATCGTTGTTTCTGCTTCAAACCCAAGAGAGAGTTTTAGCGAGTATCTTGAGAAATGGTTGACGACAAAAATTCTGGTGACAAGTTTCGCGCTTATTTCCTGAATAGGATTGTCCTATTTATACGCGTCCGCGGGATTTATCACGACGTGCGATTGTTGTTGTTTGACATGTGTGCGTGCGACATGCGTGCGTCGCGCACGCGAAACTCGACGTTCTCACGACTCGGGGTGACTGACACCTGATGCGTCGATGACCATGCCGTGAATAGAAACGCGGAATCGCCGTCTATCGAATCGCTGATATACATTTCTCGAGAAGTTTTTCGCGTAAGATTTAAGCGTCGTTTGTTTCGTTTCGTAAACAGAAAAATCGGCCCTCGTTGACATAACGAGACTCGCGAAAATTGTCGCGTTACATCACGCGACGAATTCGCTTTTCTTCAAACGGGAAAAGGATTCGAAATTTAGAGCGAGCGTCAGATGACGTGGTGTCCTTGCGCGAAGATCGATTCGCACAATTTTCTGAAAATGTAGCCGGTCAAAAAAACAATACATACTCGATTAATAAGAATTTCAATGTGTACGATAGCATATTTGTATTTTAAATCTCGAGTGTTTTTCTTTCGATATAGCGCTGGAAGTCCCGACGCGAATAGATTTTAAATTATGAGGTATATCTTGGGAATGTAACACGTAAAACACGACTTATTAGTAACGGTAACCGTAAGATCTTGCATGAAGTTTCAAAATAAATTACATGAGAGAAAGAGCGAGCAAATATACTTCTATGTTTAATTATAATATTCACATGTGTGAATTGATTATTGAAATATTAATTTATATCAAATTGATTAAATAATATTATTTATAAATTTGATTAAAAATATATATATTTCTTAACACTACATAAAAATATATATAAATATGTATTTCTGAACGCATATAAATTGATCAATTTCGCGGCAAAATATTTTTTTAATGAAAACAAGAATACAAATATACTGTTTTTTTTTTAAACATTAATTCTCGATATCTTCAAATCTGAGCTTGATATTAATGTTTCTATTTAAATTTGCTTCAAGTTAAACACTAAGAGATTAATATTTCATGGTTTATTTTCGTATCTCTAAATTTTATTTTATAAAAATTTTTCTACTCGTTTCTATTTTATTAAAAGTTGATTTTAAATTTTACATAGAATAATATTTGCTCATGGCTTGTCTCATTGAGAGTTTGTCTATTTTGTCACAATATATTCGCATTGGCGTTTGCGATATTGATTTTTATTACGCGAGAGGCAAACGCACCGCAGAAACAGCTAGTAAAGAATCATAGAAATTAAAATTATCTGAGTTTAATAGCTTTATTTATTTAATTCATAAAATTTCTTATCAATCAGAATAGATTTTACTTTAATTAAGACGTGCTAGAAACCTGATAAAATATACATTAAAATATAAATGATCATAAATGTAGTTGCGAACTAAACTTGATATATAGCTGAATTATTAAATATAAACGAAACTTTATTATTCATCTAAATGGACTTTACTTTCACAAAGTTTGTCTTCAATATTTAATTACAACTACATTTAATTTAAATTGTTAATGTTAATATTAATATTATACGATTGTGTGTGTGTGTGTGTGTGTGTGTGTGTATGAGTATGATATAAATATTCTTCTAAATTTTCCCTCTCAAAAAATAGGTCGTAAATTCATTTAAAATTCTACAATATTAAAATTATATAAATGGGAGAATTTTCTAGCATACTTTGTGTAAACGAAATTGAATTAATATAATAGAAAATTCTAGGTATTTCACGATATGACTAATTCCCGGTGAGGAAATAAAGCTATTTTCATTATAATTATGTTAATATTTTTATAATTATATTAACATTTTGTAACATTAATTAATTAATTTGTTACATATATTTCAGATGCATATAGGTATTGTGTAGAGCAGGACATACATATTTTAACGTACTATTATGCAGTGCCGTGCTCGATTGCATTACAAATAAAATATTTGCGTACGCTCCATTTGTTAATTCCCTGTTGATGTATCGTCGATAACTAATTTAGTTAATGATTAATTAATTTCAAAAGCTAGGATTTAAATTTTATTTCGGCGGATAATAATTTGCAATATCGCTTACCACAGAATTAATCTTTAAATGGAAATAATATATACACAATTATTTGAATAAAGAGACATGTAATTTTCGAGAAAAAAATTTTACATTTTAATTCTTTTAGATACATAATACAAAAATATATTCCTATTATTTTATCATATAACAATATATGTATATAAATAAACGGATATATATTTTATTTACAATTCAAATAAATTATTACGAATTTTTATACAAGATTGATACTAGAAAAATGCGAGTTAAGACTAGATCGCAAAATTTCGCAACCATGCTTAATCACACGTGTTCATTAATTCATCTTATTAGACACTTGTCGGAAATAAAGAGATCCTGTCTTGAGAGAAGGTTTAGTTGAAGATGCGCATACATCTCTCTTTATCTCTCTCACGCAACAAAAGTACATTTATATCTTGCAAATTATTCTCAGGACGCCGCGAAATTAACCAAGCTTCTCGTAACTAACATAATATCGTATGAAAGACGCGCTGAAGCTTGAAAACGACGCGCAAAATAAATATCACGGTACCGCCAGGGTAAGTCAATATCATAAACGTTATACGAGCTAGCGAGCACAAACAATAGTGCGAAAACCGAAGGCGAAAAGAGGAGAGGAGCGAAATAATCCAAACGGAAAATCGCCGAGTCATTTTCCGCAAGCTTTACCGGAAATTATCGTTTACTTTTTCATCGCGCCCGGTACATCCGCTATTAAAAAAGAAGCACTATTATACAAATATCCCATGTCATTACGGCTAATCTGAAGTTGCTCCTTATCGGAATAGCCGCAGTTTTATGCGAAACGAGCCACGTTTTTTTCTCGCTCGATGGTGTTGAGTTGCATATATGATTTTACATCGACATAACATTTTCATTTAATTTCCGGAAAACGCAAGATGCACGTAATTGAAAGAGAGAATTCATTAACGTTCCCCTCGCGTTTTTTTTAGACGATAATTGGCCGCAGAATTCAAGATAGAGATCTACTCATTTTTACGTGCCGCGCATTTCGATATGAATTCTGATTCTTTTCTCAAGTTTCTACAGTAAATAAAGTTGTTTCGAATATTACAGACCGTCTAAAAGGAATTCCGAAAGGGATTTTCCTAATGATTTGTACGACACGGCGATTGTTCCTAATGACTTGCACGACGTGTCGCAAAGTTTGTAATTTTCGTCGACGGCTTCTCTTTCATTCGCGTTTCGCGATAAGAATAATTAACTACTTTACGCGTATCGCATCCCGAGTAAGCTTATCGTGGTCGTGGAAATTATTTCTTATTCTCCGCAGCAGCGCTTTATTACGTTACGGTCTTATAAGCCTTTGATAAAACTATACGGTACATGTTTACAACCATGTGTGCATAATCGTTTAAAAAGTCTCGT